TTGTTTTTCTGGGCAGTTCGTCGCCGCGTGAGCTCGGTGCGTCAGAAGACCGGCGCCGGCGGTCGAAACTCTCCACGCGTTTTGAGCTCCAGAGTCGCTAAATGGGACCCGACCTGAAAGTGTGACTCCACCAATGGATTGCTGTACCAACGAGGAATCCATTGGTGGGGTCACACGTTCGGTTCGAGTCCCATTTAGCGACTCTGGAGCTCAAAACGCGTCCGGGATTTTGACCACCTCCACCGCTCCTCTGGCCTTCTGTGCCCAGGAACATTGGCGTCAAATTTTCGGGGGGCGAAGTGGTGGACGCGGCGGAAAGACTGATAAAGTGCGAGGGGCCGCAAGGGGGAGGGGGAGGGGGGCGCCGTGCGTTGTTTTGCGACCGAATAATTCACAAGATAGGCCATTTTGGGGGGTATCGCCTAATTAAACATGAATTACTGTATTTGTATGCACGGCCGGGGCGGGCCGGCGCGGCCTGGTGATAACGTACGTGGCGCTTCGGCGCGCGTGGACCACACTGCGAAAAAAAATCATGTACAAGTTTAATTATAATAAGGAGGGAACGGCGGCGGGCCTCCGCGCGTCATCTTGGTCAAAGTGCGGCCGTCTGAGGAGAGCTGCTAGTTTATGCAGAGGCCCGCTGACGGAGACGGGACTGGTGCGCGACGGAGCCGCTAGGCGGGGTTGGCTCGCGAGAGCAAACCCGGAAACGTAGCACGTCAGGCAGCCTCAAGCTCAAGTCGGTCCACTGTGAAAATACCTGTAGGCACATCTTTATTGGCAGTGTTAGTTACATCCACCGTCAGGTACTTTCTTTATCGGTGTACTGAGAAAACCAACTCAGCTTGCGTCTGTTAACAGCGTTGACAGAGTTGTGTTCGTATCGTCGGCGAAATTCTCATCCTATGACGCTCCACCTCGGGGTGAAATCCAAAACCTCGCAGCACACCGCGTTCAAGTTGACCCCCCGTGGGTTCGGCGTTCCCCGCGGGTGCCACTAACCCAAACCCCCGCCGCCCCGCCGCTGCCTGGCTGCTTGTACAGTGCTGTACAGTGTGGGCGCTGCAGTTCGGCACTTAACCCTGGCGGCGGGGGACGTCGGCAGCGTCAGGGACGCTGGGTAATTATTACGGGGTGGTCACATCCAACTTGGAGCTCTGTTATTCCAGGTGCGTCATAGCGCCCCGCCCCGCCCCGCCCCGCCCCGCCCCGCCCTCGCAGCGCCCGCGGCCACGGCGTACGTAACAGGCGCTCACTCGCGTCTTGCTCTTGCCTCCCTTGCCCGCCGGTGCTGCTTCCTTGTTCCCAGAAGGGCCTCGGAGGAGAGGGCCGCCCCCCCCCCGCACGCGGCATCGACGTCGCCGAGTTGAAGGTCGCCTGCCCTTGACGCCCTTTCGGCGTCAGACTCCCGCGGAACCAGTGCGTCACGGCGCACAACGCGACATCGAATAATTAGCCAGCGTGTTTTTCTATCACAATGTGTTCCAATGTGCTCGAACCAAACGTGTGACCCCACCAATGGATTCCTCTTTCGTAGAGCAATCCATTGGTGGGGTCACACGATCGAATCGAGTCCTGTTTAGCGACTCTGGAGCTCAAAACGCGTCCGGGACTTTGACCGCCTCCACCGGTCCTCTGGCCCACTGTGCGCGCTCCAGCGGGGCGTGGCATGGCAGTGTACACTCCTCGTGGTGCGGCGGCATGCCCTCCTCCTTGCCGGACAACGCTGGCAACAAATCCCCCTCCCGATTGACAAATCCCTCCACGTATTTTTATGCCGGCGTACCCGGTCCCCACACGGGCCCACAAATCACCAAAGGACGGCCTAGAGTGAGTGAGAAGATTAGGGGCGGGATAAAATAAAAAGAGACGACGAAAACGCGTCGATTGTTTTTCCAGTGCATGATGGATGGTGGCAGCAGCAGCAGCCCGGTGCCCCTGATATGTCGGCGCTAATTTGTGGCGCCGGTTTGTTTGACGACAGCAACTAGGTCGGAGTAATTGCCGCCGAACGATAGTCTTTACATAGTTTTTACTTTTTTCGGCCCCGCATTTTCATCCGTCCTTTCCTCCGGTTTCTCCCATTTCCGAAATTCGACAGCGACCGGGAGAGCTAAAATCTGGAGGCCATTGTGCTTCTGGGTGGCGTATGCTGCACGCGGGAAATTGGGTTTCGAATTTTCCGACTGGGGGAAGGGTCTCTCTTTGAAAGTGGCGATGTTGACGCCAGTCAGCCAGCCAGCCACTGCCCGGGGCCTGAACGAACTCTACTTGCTTGGCAATGAAGTGTATTTGTTTTGGCAAAACTAGCGCGTCCCAGGCTGCATAATGTATAAGCTGGCTTCTACTCGGTCGAGGGGGAAGGGGTTGGGGGTGGGGCAGGCTTCAACTTACTCCAGTACCTGCTGCTGCGGCCGGCGGCTGGATATTTACCGAGCAAAGACCCCTGCTCCTGAGACGAGTTGAGAGAGAGAGAGAGAGAGAGAGAGAGAGAGAGAGAGCGAGAGAGAGGGAGGGGGGGAGAGAGAGAGAGAGAGAGAGAGAGAGAGAGAGAGAGGGAGAGAGCGAGAGCCAAGCAGAAGTGGCGCCTGGACCAGCCTAGAGGCAGCCGAGGCACAGGGCGAGGCGGTGCAGGACGTCGCACAGAGCGTGCGGAGCACAGATCGGCGTGCCCTGACTGTCTGCCCGTAGGGCTGCCTGCCTGCCTGCCTGCCTGCCTGCCTGCCTGCCTGGCTGCCTGGCTGCCTGCCTGCCTGCCTGCCTGCCTGCCTGCCTGCCTGCCTGCCTGGCTGCCTGGCTGCCTGCCTGCCTGCCTGCCTGCCTGCCTGCCTGCCTGCCTGCCTGCCTGCCTGCCTGCCTGCCTGCCTGCCTGCCTGCCTGCCTGCCTGCCTGCCTGCCTGTCCGCCGTGTCACGCCCCCAGGCCCGGCCGTGATAGAGACGTTTTAATTTGGGAAAATGACATGGATCTGCCCCTTTGATAAGGACACCGCCCGTCTGTCTGCCTGTCCGTCTGTCTGTCTGTCTGTTCGCCCGTCCGTCCGTCCGTCCGTCCTCACGGCTGAGGTTGTCAAAACGACAGGCATCGGCAATTAGCCTGGCAGTCGTGACAGCTTCGTTAACCCTTTGCTTAATGGCGCGTGCGACTGAAAGACTGAAACGGGCCGCGGCCTTGAGACAGTCCCCGCCAAAAGTGAGAACGAAAATCGATGATTTGATGGGCGGACGTGAAGGGGGTGGAGGAAAAAAAACAAAACTGCGGGAACGACAAACAAAAATATAACGCCGCGTCGCGTCGTCTGGAATATTTATTGGGTTCGGGTTTACGGGGCGGTACACGGTAAGGGAGGTCCGCGCGCATGGCGGTGGCATGGCGGTGCCTGGGGTGGCCCGCAGTCAACCGGCATTTCGACATGTCCGTGTGCAGTCAGCCGTCACACACACACACACACACACACACACACACACACACACACACACAGTGCGGTGGCAGCTTTTATTTATCAGTGTAGTCGTCGACGTGGGCTTGGCCGGCAGGTGCGAGGCGGTGGAGGAGCAGCGGCGGCCCGGGCCTTCACTTACAGTGGACGCCCCGTTTTTCTTCCTTAGCACACAATCCTCCGCGTTGTTTAAAATTCCCGGGCAAATATATGGTCGGCCGCCCGACCGGTCCGGCAGGGAAGGCCAGGCCGGCCGGAGGAACGCGTCTGTAGACACGGCGCTGGAAAACGTCGGAAAACCAGGAAAAGGCGGCGGAAAAATGCGGAAAAAAAACGTGTACGGAACATGCCGACAGGACGAGGATTCCTGGCGAATTCCTCGACGGAAAGAGAGGAGGCGACGCGTCGTCGGAGTCCTGTCGGACTGCGGCGCGCCGCGGCGGAGTGCGGGTACCGGGAGTATCCCGACGAAAGTCGCCGTCGCCAGAATGACTGATGGCCTCGCCTAGCCTCGCGCCAGCCCTAGCGCCAGCTGCCCAGGGACCTGCAGAGACACCCCCAGCCGCCCCCAGCCGCCCCCAGCCGCCCCCGCCCCTCCAATCCGTTCCGCTGGAGCGATGTAAATTTATCACGTCTTTCTTCCTTTCCCTCGGCCTTGTCGAACTGTGTGCCGAGTGCGCCTTGGCTTCTCCAAGCTCGACGGGCAGAGCACAGTGGGCCAGAAGACCGGTGGAGGCGGTCAAAATCCCGGACGTCTTCAGCTCCAGAGTCGCTAAAGGGGACTCGAACCGAACGTGTGACCCCACCAATGGACTGCTCTCCGAACGAGGAATCCATTGGTGGGGTCACACGTTCGGTTCGAGTCCCATTTAGCGACTCGAGTTCAAAACGCGTTCGGAGTTTTGGCCGCCTCCACCGGTCTTCTGGCCCACTGCGCAGCGCCGCCATCACGCCGACATCGCTCGCTCCCCGATCATGCCCCGTTTGGCGGTGTACCTGCATGCGGCCAACTTGCTGGCTCGGCCCGGCTGCGTTCCGATTAAATGCCACAGCACGGCGCGCATCAGATGGAATGGCGGCGATAGCGCACGGAGCGGCAGCCCGCGGCAGCCCGTACCGTTATCCAGCCACTGCCGCGGCCTCCATGCCCCGTGGCCCCCGTGGCCCCTGCGGCCTCCATGGCCCCCGTGGCCTCCATGGCATCAACCGGCCAGGGCAAAAACCAATGAAGCTGCCGCGTTGTTACACGTGGTCCGGGCCAGCCTGCTCACTGTGGGCCAGAGGACCAGCGGAAGCGGCCAAAACTCTAGACGCGTTTTGAGCTCCAGAGTCGCTAAAGGGGACTCGAACCGAACGTGTGACCCCACCAATGGATTCCTCGTTCGGAGAGCAATCCATTGGTGGGGTCACACGTTCGGTTCGAGTCCCCTTTAGCGACTCTGGAGCTCAAAGCACATCCGGAATATTGGTCGCCTCCACCGGTCTTTCTCCCACAACCGTCCAAAATGAAAACTATTTCTTTCCACAGCGGCTCACCAACTCGGCTTGTTGTGTTGCAGACGGCGGACGAGTACATGGCGGAGTACAACCTGCGGCGCGACAAGGAGTACTCGCGCTTCCACGGCTACACCTACGACGGCGTGTGGGCCGTGGCGCTGGCCATCCAGCACGCCGCGCACCGCATCCGCCACTACCGCAAGAACGACACCATGTCCAACTTCAAGTACCGCGACGCCATGTGGGAGAAGGTGTTCCTGGAGGCGCTCAAGAACACCAGCTTCGAGGGGGTCACGGTGAGTCTCTTCAGCCGGCTCGTTTGAGTCTGCTGGCGGGGTCAGGGCCGCATCGCGCTGTCTCTCTCGCACTCGTGGCCTGCCCCGAGTGGGTGCGAGAGAGACAGGGCCGGCCGCCGCGCCATCGGATTAGTATCGACTTGCTCTTGAGCCTGGCCGCGCGTGCGTGCCCGGCCGTGCCCGCGGGCACTTCTAGTGGCGTAGCACGCGCCGAGTGGATAGCGGCGCGAAGCGCGAAGCGCGAAACAGAGGTAATGAGCATGCTCCGCTTTCCCGGTTTTCGGCTCCGCTCCGCCGGATTAATCTTTTCGCTGCATATTCATGGGCAGAATCCCGGTAGCGGTGATGAGGCAGCCTCAGACTTCGCGCCTCGCCGGAGTCGGATTCCGAGCAGTGCTTCACGTCGCGCTGTCTCTCTCGCACGCCTCCGCCCTGCGCGTCGCCCCGTGAGTGCGAGAGAGACAGCGCCGCCCGGAATGAGCCACGCCTCGAAAGCCGAGGCGAAAGCCGACGCGAAAGACCTCCAGATGCGCTCTGGACACCAATTATTCCGCCGAGGCCCCAGCCGTCCCAGCCCAGCGCAACACCGGCAGTCGCGTCACAAATCCGGACTCAGGCGTGTTACAAGCTTTCGCCTCCGGCCAGGCTCGAATCCCAAAAAAGTTTTCGCCACTTGAAAAAAAATTCTGGAGGTTGTGTTGGAGTGCGGAGGTGCTTGATAGGCTGGCCGGGCCAGGACTAGGTCAGGGCTGGCGGGGCTCCACCGCAGGCCCGGCTGTGAAACCGCCGTTAACGCACAGGCATCAGCACCAAGGCGGTGGGGTTGGTAGGGGGCGGTGGGGCCAAAGTTGGCTACAGCAGGTTACGGTCGACAACAATGTAGACTGGAGGGGCATCGGTGTGGCTGGAGTCAAGGCTGGAGTCCCGCTGGAAGCCACCAGGCTCCTCCCCGCCACTCCGCAGTGATCCAGCACGGCGCCACACAGTGGGCCAGAAGACCGCCGGCGGCGGCCGAAACTCTAGACGCGTTTTGAGCTCCCGAGTCACCAAACAGGACTCTAACCGACCGTGCGACCCCACCAATGGATTCCTCGTTCGGAGAGCAATCCATTGGTGGGGTCACACGTTCGGTTCGAGTCCTCTTTAGCGACTCTGGAGCTCAAAAACGCGTCTAGAATTCTGGCCGTCTCCAGCGGTCTTCACAGTGCGGTGCGGCGCGGTCGCTGAGTCCGCTGAAAACGCAGCGCCATCACTGAGATAAAGCGGTCGATGTTATCATCATCGCTAAGTCGGCCGCAAAAAAGTGAATTTCATCCATAATCGAGTATCGGGGCCGCGCCGCCCTTCGCCCCGCCGTCCCGGGGAAGAGAGAGGCCCGAAAAAGAGGAGAATAATTTGGGCCAAATGACGAGGCTAATTCCTTTGACGATGCAGGACGCCAGGATGATGCTCATGTTGACCTCCCCGGCGCAGCGCCGCGGATAAATAAACAAGCACGCCTAACTTTCTTATTTTCGTTTTTTCCTTTTTTTTTTCAAGTTTCCGCGGAATTGAGTTTATGAGTTTGGGCTGCGTGCTAATTGCAGCTGGCTCGGCTTTGGCGCGCTTTGGCGTGCTTTGGCGCTCTCGCAGGTACGGGTTGCTGCGCGCCGCGCTCCTCGGTGCTTAACGAAGTGTGCCACGGACAAGGGCATTGCCGCACTGCCTGCCGGCCGGGGCAGCTTTGGCTGCTAAGCACAGCCACAAAGTACAGGCCGCGGAGCACGCCGTCGCTCCGTCTCTCTCGCACTCGTGGGGCGCCCCGTACGGCTGCGAGAGAGACGGAGCGACGGAAACGACCTCTCAGTCTCCTCAAAGCAGCGTCGCGATGTAATTGCAAGTTCGCGCCCGGCTGCCCACACGCCCCGCCACTGCTAATTTGCGGGACGGCGTCGCAGCGCTGCGCAGCGCGTTCCGCGCCGCCGACTTCCCCGATACCGGCGCGAGCTGCTACCCGCTCGCCCCGGCACACAGTGCGCCAGAAGACCCGGGCGGCCAAAATCCCGGGCGGGTTTTGCAGCTCCAGCGTCGCTAAACGGGACTCGAACCGAATGTGTGACCCCACCAATGGATCGCTCTCCGAATGAGGAATCCGGTGGTGGGGTCACACGCTCGGTTCGAGTCAGGTTTGACGACTGGCTCAAAACGCGTCTAGAATTTCGGCGTCCTCCACCGGTCTTCTGGCCCACTGTGCGGCTCCGACAGGGCGCGCCAGGGAGACGGCCGGGCTCTCCCTCTCTGTCGCACCCACGCGAGACGCCCCCAGCGTGCGAGAGAGACAGCACCGCTGGGAATCGTTCCGCCGAGGGCAAACCCTAGAAATGCGAGTCACCGTGAGCCTCCAGCATGCCGACGTCTTCCCTCCGTAAGCTCCGTGACTGCTGTGGGGTTCCAATTATTCGGTCTCGAGTCGCGTCGGCGGGACGAGCACGTGCCGCGCCGTCTCTGCCTTTCCCTCCGTCTCTCTCGCTCTCGCTCCGTGGAGGGCGCCTGCACCGTAATAAGCCCACAGCGTCCCGAGTCCCGATGCATCGTCACCAAGTGTGCCGTCCGGACCCCTTCCAGGTCCTCCAGCCCTTCCAGGCCTTCCGCGGTCCTGGAGTTGAGGAGGTGAAATCCGAGGGTCGTTAGGATCAGGTGGGGTCGCCGCGAGCGGGGCGGGACGGGGGGAGGGGGGCCGGCCCTACACGACTTGGTGGACCGGCCTGTGCCCCAATAAAGATAAAGATGGCCACGGTACGAGCGGGCGTGCTGTTGCAGTGTTGTCACGGCACGGCCCTGTGACTCGCGGGCTTGGCGGCGGCTTGCCCTCGGGCTTGCCGGTCCACTTGGCCACCACCTTTCTGCGTCCCCCGCCGCGGTCCCCGCAGTCGGCCGAAGCCTCTCTGTAGGCGCCCTGTTGTCTGCCCCGGCCTGCCCCGCCTCGCTGCTCCTTTTTTGGCGTCCTTTAGGCGTCTTTGGTCGTCCCGAGTCCTGAGCAGAGCAGTGTGCCGCGGGCACTGTCAGGCGGGCCGGCCGGGCAGAGAGAGAGAGAGAGAGAGAGAGAGAGAGAGAGAGAGAGAGAGAGAGAGAGAGAGAGAGAGAGAGAGAGAGAGAGAAGGACGGCGTGTCTGTTTTCGGGCTTTGTGTTCCAAACCAGTGACATTGATGACATTGGTGGCTTTGGCCCGACCGCTCAGGCGGGCTCTTCTAAGGCTCCGGCCGCCCTTGCGCCCCCTAGGCCTCCAGGCGCCCAGCTAGCGTAGCCACCCGGCGGGCGGCCTCACTATCGGGACGGCGCGCGGGTAAGGTGGCCACATGGCCGGCGTCACGGTGGAAGTCGTAGGGTTGCCACACGGCAGACTAGCTGACGAGTCACATTGCGTGAAGCAAATCCTTGATGAGACACTGGGAAACAAAGGCCTTTCTGCTTAGCCCCAGCCCCGCCATGGCGCGCCACCCTGAAATAATTCCAGCCGGGGTTGGGGCTGTACGACAAGCCGTGCAAGACTGCCGGCTCGAGGATCCGTCCCGGCCGATCCGGCAGCGTCAGCAGATAGACTGCCTCCCTATCTCGCCGGGTGCTGCTGGCCCGCTGGCTCCGAAGCGCGCGGCCGGCGACGTGGACGCGACCCTGGTCGCAGTGTGCCCCCAGGGAGGCCCGGGGAGGCGCGGGGGTCAGCAGGAAAGTCTTGAAAAGCTCCTGTCTCGTAGTTTGAAAGCCTCACGAAACCGCTGGGTGCCTACCTGCCTACCATGGTCAACTCGGGTTCAACTTGAAACTAGTTTTCCGTGAGGTCCGGTGAAAATGCCTCTGGAGCGCCACAGGCTTCGCCCGGATGTCTCGTTCAATAATTTCAGTCACCTGCTCACGAATCGTTAGCGGCCTCCTGGAATTATTAAGGCCTAAGCCAGACAGACGATGCGAAGCCGTGGGGCGATCGGAAACAACAACAACAACGCCGGGCAAAAAAAAAGGAGACAGACAAAAACCTGGAGTCGAGTGCAGTCTATTCTTCTTCTCCCGGACACTGCTTCGCTCTGTCTCCCTCTGGGCGGCAAAAAGCGGAGAGAGAGCGACGGAGACGGAGAGGGAGGCGAAGCCGTTACTAGGGGTCACCGCCAAAGTTAATGCGATTGCATTGGGCGCGCGGCGCGGCGCGGCGAACTTGGTTAAGGTGAAAAACGAGGCCGTCCTCCGCTAAGCGCGCCTGCACTGCCTGCAGCGTCGCGCTCCGTCTTTGTGGCCACACGCCCCGGGCCACACGCCAGAGCGAGACAGAGAGAGAGGGCGGGGGGATAATGAAGTGACACCGTGTTTGCCGAAAGGTTTGTCGAAAAAATTGACGACGGTTTGTGGGTGTGTTTTTCTTTTTTTTTGCCTGTCGTGTGGCACGCCGGTTGGGTACAAAGGGGGCAAGCCCTTGTGTGCGTCCCGCCTGCCGGTGTGGCGGGCCGGCCCAGGCGACGGGGGTACTTACAAAAGAATAGCAGGTGGCAGTGGGGGGGGGGTCTCGTTTGTCATGCAGCCCATTACGAGGCGCACATTGTGTTTAATCCGTCGAGGCCCCATCCACTTGAGGGTGTCAGTCTGGCTCGGGGAGGCGACGTGGGCCATCCGGAGTCCGGAGGCAGCCAGGCGCTGCCAGGCCCAACCGCAGTGGGCCAGAAGACCGGTGGACCGGTGGTCGAAATCCCGGACGCGTTTCGAACCTCAGAGCCGCTCAATGTCACTCGAACCGAGCGTGTGACCCCACCAATGGATTGCTCTCCGAACGAGGAATCCATTGGTGGGGTCACACGCTTGGTTCGAGTCCTCTTGAGTGACGCTGGCCCTCGCAGAACGCGTCGAGAGTGTTTGCCGCCTCCACCGGTCCTCTGGCCCACTGTGGGATGCCACCTCAATGGCCTGCCAGCCGCGCTGCCGCGCTCGGCGGGGCTCATCGGCTGGACGGACTACTTTTGTATAAATTTACGAGCAGGTGCCGTCGGGGCGAAACTTTAATTAAGTTGAAAAGAGTTCCGTCTGCTGCGATCCGGCCGTGCGGCCCAGACGGGACGCGCCCGCCGAGTCAGCGATAGGCAACCCGCAACAGGCATTGCCTACACTGGCTCGGCCAATCGGCGTGATGCGTGCCGAAAGCAAGGAGCTAATTTTAACATTTATAAACACGACACGCATTCAGAAAACAGCGGCGTGAGGCGCTGTTCCAAAAATAGCGATGCCGGGCGGTTGCGTGCCTGACTGCAGAATGTGTGTGGCGCGCTGTTGCTATTGGACGCTGCCCCGGCAACGTGTATTATGGAATTCTGATCGGCACACGGGGCCGCGGGCGGCCAGGCCGATTCTGAAAGGGGTTCTCTGTCTCGCACTCGTGGTGGTGCGAGAGAGACAGTCCGCCGCGGACAATGCTGAGCATGAGCGTGCGGTCCCGCCACTGTCGGTCATCTTCGTGTCATTGGTCGCAAGTTTCCAAGTTATTCCTGCCTCATTCGGGCTGCAAATGAGCGGTCACTCTATTGTTGTTGTTTTTGGCGCGTGTTTTGCTCGCCAAACTTGTCATCGTTATTGGCCCGGCCCACAGTGTGCTGCCAGTGTGCCAGTGCACTCCAACCCCGGCCAATTCCAATAATGACGACGGGGCTGATTACATTTGCCGTGCAGGTACTTCGTCACTCTGTCGCGCGGGAAAATATAAACAATTGCATCGGTGAAAACTTCTCCGGGAGTGAATTCAGCTGTCATGAACCCGCCTGTAGCCAAGTTACACCGAAAGAGACCGAAAGCGCGCGCGCGTTTAAATTCAAAGTTTGTTTTGCTCCTTGTGCCACTGTCGGGTTTAGATGTGCGGCCGTGCCGTTTCCGGCGGAAGTGCTCCCCGCCACGCCCTCGCCGCGCTACCCTCGCTACCCGACCCGACCCGACCCGCCCGACCCACGACCCACCCGACCCGCCCCGACCCGCCCGCCCCGAGCCCGACCCTTGCAGCCTGCCGTGTTGCCACCTGGAGGGGCATCTTTACTGCCTCAGTAAGATATTGGGTGGGCGGTGCGGTGAAGGGCCGCCTCGGCTCGGCGGTGGCGCGGGGTCCTCGGTGCACAGTGGGCCAGAAGACCGGTGCAGGCGGCCGAAACTTTGGACGCGTTTTGAGCTCCAGAGTCGCTGAACAGGACTCGAAGCGAGCGTGTGACCGCACCAATGGATTCCTTGTTCGGAGAGCAATCCTTTGATGGGGTCAAACGTCCGGTTCGAGTCCCATTTAGCGACTCTGGAGCTCAGAACGCGTCGGGGATTTTGACCGCCTCCACCGGGTCGTGGCCCACTGTGTGGTGGGGTTCTCGGCGAGGCACTCCAAGCTGTCCTCGCGGCACCACACCCTCGCACTCCGCAGCAGTCGAATGCAATTTTGCGCCTTCGTGAGTCCCGCGCACTCGCCGCCTCCGAGGAGGGCGTCGGGGTCCTCGCATCGAGGGTCGCGTTTGGCGGCGAGCTCAGTCAGCACCCCCGGGAACCCGAAGCCCTCTGGCGGGCTGCTCCCCGCCCCCTGCGGCTTACGGTGTGTCGAAGGTGTGACCTCCACTTCCCTTTGATTTCACGAGGTGTTTAGCGCGATAAATCGCGAGTCGACTTGCGCTGCTGAACTTGTTCGATCCGTCATCGCGCACGCCGTGCCCGGAAGTACCTCACCGAGGCCGCGGCCGTGCCTCACCGGACGCGCCAGGAATTGAACGCACTGCGGCCGCGGTCAGATGGACTCGGAATAAGCAGTGGCGTGGGCGCCGCGCCCGCCATGGCGATGGCGCGATGCAACGGCCCGGCTGGGCTGGGCTGGGCGCGGCTCGCACCGCCTTGGCTCCCTTCCAGTGCGTAAGCACTTGCCTCGATGGCGCGATCGGGGCAAGGCCAGGCCAGGCCAGGCCGACCCAGCCCGGCCGATGGCTGCAGGGGTTGAGAATGGCCCGCTTCCAAGGATAACTCAAAATGAGAAGTCGGGCGGGGCGGAGCGGGGTGTGGTGGCGCGCCGCAACCGCCGGCCCTTCTTATTTGCAAACCGTCTCGCCGAGCGGCCGAGCACCGACAAGGGCCCGGACCAAGGCCCGGGCCGACCGGGCGGCCACAGGAAAAAAGAAAAGAAGGGGGAAATGTATAAAAAGGATATTAGGCGAAAAAGAAAATTAATGGCTTTGTCGGGGACCGGCTCGCGGTCCGCGGTCGGGCGGGACGGCCTTGATCTGGCCGGCCGGGCCCTGATTTCCGTTTCCGGTTTGAAAAAATTGGAAATTTCCCACCACGCGGCGTTTTCCTTTGCCCTTTCACCTCGACTGCGTCTGATGTGACTGCGAGGTCGCCTTTGTTTGTCTCCCTCCCTCCGAAATGATGAAAATGCGCGGCAAGCAGCGCGAAGCAGCGCGCCAAGTCCTCTTTAAACATTCCGCTTTGTTTTCCCTTTTTTTACCGCGTAAAGTAATTATATCCTTTGAGATTAACGGTCTTTCTTCTTCCATCTTTATTCCGACTTAATTACGCCAGTGTGACGTCGCGGTCACGTTGCGTGGCGCGGCGTGGTCACAGTTAACGCTCGCCTCGAGGAACGTCGTGCCACAATTAGGAGGGCACTGCACTGCGAGAAAACGCTTCGGATCGACGCGCCGTCGCCCTGCCGCCGCACAGTGGGCCAGAAGACCAGTGCAGGCGGTCAAAACCCCGCACGCGTTTTAAGCTCCAGAGTCGCTAAATGGGACTCGGACCGAACGTGTGACCCCACCAATGGATTGCTCTCGGAACGAGGAATCCATTGGTGGGGTCACACGATTGGTTCCAGTCCTGTTTAGCGACTCTGGAGCTCAAAACGCTTCTGGGGTTTTCTCCGCCTGCACCGGTCTTCTGGCCCAAAGTGCGCTGCAGTGGAAGAGGGAAACGGGAGCGCGATTTTTCATCGCCGGAAGCAACGGCAGCATGGCGGCCAGAGAGGACTCTAATAGAAGAAGCGCGCACGGATGCCGGCCGCGCCAGCCGGGGAGAGTTCCGGTAAAGGCACTCGACCTTGTTGTTGAGGCCGGGGCGCGAGGGCCGGAACCGCGCGCCGCTGGATCTGTCCACCCGCGGGGCGGCGGGGGCTCCGGGGGCGGCCGGGGCCCCGGGCAGTCGGGACGGGTCGGGACGGGATGGGAGATAGCGCCCGCTTTGGCAATGTATAAGGGCTGGCCTGTTTAGTGCGCGCGAGCGGCTGGCCCGGCTGGTCCGGACCCGCGTCGCGCTGTCTCTCTCGCACCGCTGCGGCGCGCCCCGTGAGTGCGAGAGAGACAGGGCGACGGAAGCGCCGTTCGGGGCCAGCCCCCGCGCCGGCCTCTGTGACACCGACCTCATTGTCTCCGTATCTGAATCTCAATGGGCCGCCGACAGAAAAGGAGGGCCGGGCCGGCCGGGCTGACGAATTGGCGACAAGGGGGGGGGGCTGTTCCGATTCGTGGTCTCGGGGCTTAGTGGCGGGGCGGGGCGGGGCGGGGCGCGCACCTTTCCAATATCGAGGCCGGCTTGACCAAGGCGGGGCGACGGTTTGGCTTGGCGCGGTGAAAGTGATGCGATTCCGCCGTGAAAAGCCAAGGGAAGAGGGGGGGGGGAGCTGATTCGGCATCGGCAGTGTCAGCAGGGCAGTTTGTCCCTTTTATTACTGCCGGGCCTTGAGACAAGATTCGTTTCGCTCCGTTGTGCTGCCTGCCGGGTGGCTTGCCTGTGCCATTCGGCCGGCCTGGTTGCCTACCCGGCCTGCCCGCTCCTCCTTTTAGTTTGTGATTGATATTCGTGTTGGCGAACAAGTCTGCTCTGTGCGTGGCTTGCGTGGCGCATGGCGAGGCTCAGCGCTAAGCTCCCGCTGACACACTGTCTCCGTTCTGTTGCAGGGCCCCGTCCGGTTTTACGACAACGAGAGGAAAGCCAACATCCTGCTGAAGCAGTTTCAAGGTGAGTCCCTCTCCGGCGCCGCCGTCCCGTCCCGTCCCGCCCCGTCCGCGCGTCCCGGCTTGTCTCGAGAACCGGGACAGTCGCTATACAAGCGCCGCGCGCGACGGCCGGATGACGACTCTGCCTCATTGTCCCCCTCGTTGTTTTGCACCCTTTGTTGTTACCGGCACACTGGCATGCTTGCTGCAGGCGGCGAGGAGATCAAGGTGGGCGAGTTCAACGGCGTGACGGAGCAGCTGGACATGGCGCGCGGCCACCCGGTGCTGTGGCAGGGCGGCCGGGGCATGCCGCCCAAGGACCGCACGCTGCACCAGATCCAGCACTCGCAGATCAACCTCACGGTGTACGTGCTGCTGGCCTCGTGCGCCTCCATCGGCATGCTGCTGGGTTCCTTCTTCCTCATCGTCAACATCCGCTACCGCAACCAGAGGTACGCCACCAAACACCTGTTGACGGCGCCGTGTGTGCGCGCGGTCGCTCTGTCCCCCTCGCACTCGCGGGGCGTCCCGTATGGGTGCGAGGGAGGCAGAGCGGCGAAAGCGGCTCTCAGTCTACAGGGCGCGCTATCGCTAGATTAGTGTACAGTGGCGCGGCGGGGAACTCCGCGCGTCCCAGCCAGGCGGACGAGCTCATCCCGGATACACGCGTGCATACGCCCAGGCTAAAAAAGAATTCGAAAAAACGCGCGTGGGGGAGTTGAACCAACAACCTCCACTTTCGGATACCGACGCCTCTGCGCGCGCGGCTACCCGTCGGGGGGATGAGCCTCGGTAAGTGCCCGCGGCCCATCTCGCGTGTCCTGGCTGCGGTCCTGCGGGCCGACTCCCCTCTGGAGACTCCAGGACTCTGGTCCAATTAGCGTCCTGTCTGCGTGCCCGTCGTGGCCGTCGTGGCCGTCGCGGCCGTCAGGGTCGTCTTGGGTCGTCAGGGCGGACATGACGTGCCGAAAAGCGACGCGGCAATCACAAAGCCCAACTTTCTTGGCGTTTCCTTTCTCCGTCTTTCCTTCTTTTTTTTCGAGTCCCTTTGCGGGCGCAGAGTGGAGCGCGGAGAGCAGCGCGGAGAGCAGCCTCCCGGTCATTCATTCCGCAGTCAAGATTGGGCGCGCAAACGGATCGCGGGTGCCGGATACCGTCGGCGGGCACTGAGGCACTGCCAGGCAGTCGTTCCACCGCCACTTGGCTTTCTTACAATGACTTTCAATCCGGCCCGGCAAATATTTGGGCGGCGAGGCGCGGACAGTGGCGTGGCGAGCTCGGAAGAGCCGAAGGCCGAGCCGAGGGCCGAGCCGCGCGATCGGGGTCCTCATCTGCCATCTGCAAATAGCGTCCGGCCAAAAGGGAAAGAGGGTGGAGGGGCGCAGGCGAGGGGCCACGGCTAATTCTAAATATTTGGTTTCCCTTCCTGACGGCCTGCCGGTGTGTCGGCCCGGCCAGGGCAGCCAGAGCCAGGAGCCAGGCGGATGGGGCCGAACTGGCTAGCGCGTTGACGGGGACGTCGGGGGCCTTCGGGGTGGGCCATGCACTGGTGTCCGGCACAGTGCAGGTCCCCTAATGGCCGCTACACGTGCCCTGAGGGGAGGGGGGGCACGTGTAGCCTGCACACCGGGGTGGCTGCAACTAAAAGGCGGCCTTGTTCGTGGCCCGTGTCGCGTCGGCTGGCCTGGCCGGGCCGGCGGCGGTGTAGTCAAACTCACGCCCCAGAAGTGGGACAGCGTGCAGCGGTAGAGCCCCGGCGCGCCGGGCGCGCGCCGTGCTCGCGTGTAACACTATCCCGTTGGTGGCGGCGCTGTGACTGCGCTCCTTCGGGCCGTTACGCTCTAACGAAGGCTGGGCGGGTGGGGCGAGTCCGGTGGGTCCTGGCGGCACGACGGCGACCTGGCCGCGTCGCCGCACAGTGGGCCAGAAGACCGGTGGAGGCGGCCAAAACTCTAGACGCGTTTGGAGCTTCGGAGTCTCTCAACAGGACTCACACACGTTCGGTTCGAGTCCCACTTAGCGACTGTGGAGCTCAAAACGCGTCTAGAGTTTTTGTCGCCTGCACCGGTCTTCTGGCCCACTGTGCGCCGCGCCGTTCGACGGCGCTTTGCGCGGAATGCCAAGGCACGGCCAAGGCACGGCCAAGGTGGGCGGCCTGCCGGGCCCTTCGGAAACCGGTACACTGGCAACGCAAATGAACGCGCTTTAGTGGCCGTTGGCCTTCGGGTCGCTTGAAAGCCCCGCGGCTTGGACGCGCGACGAACCTCCACGGCCTTCCTGGCCTTCTTGGCGTGTCGCGATAAAACGGAATCGCTTCTCAGGGAATTGGGTGCGTGCCGTGCGCGCTGCCGCCCAGCACGAGGACGCCGAGGACGCCGAGGACGCCGAGTGCGCGGAGTGGAGCCCCTGGTGGACACGACACTGGCAGGGCGGCCCCAGCTGCGCCCCGCCCCGCCCCGCCCCGCCCCGCCCCGGCCAGCTGCCCGATAGGTGCGGCGGAAAGGGACAGGGATTGGGATTGGGACCCAAATTCCGGGCTTTACTGTCGCGCACGCTCATTCTGAAGAGTTCTCCCTCCGTCCCACTCATGAGGCGCCGCGCAGGGGTGCGAGAGAGAAAGAACGATGGAGTGACTGGAAGGGAGAGGAGTGTCGAGCGCGCACTGCCCCAGTGATTGGCAGTGGGGCGACGCGGACTAATTTCGCGCCAATATTTCGCAAACTGTGTCGCTGTGTATCTCCGAGCCGCGAGACAGTCTCGACTGGCGGCTTGACGAATGAACCGGAACGATGGCATTAGTGTAGTCAACAGCGCGGCCGCGATCGGGGCGGGGCGGGGCGGGGCGGGGCGGGGCGGGGCGGGGCGGGGCGGGGCGGGGCGGGCGGGGCGGGGCGGGGCGGGCTAGGATTAGGCGGCCGGGGTGCGACTCGCAGGGCGGCGTGCGGCTTAGGG